ATATTTACATATGTACATGCCTTTATTTAGACCTCTATAAATGCCCTTTGCCTCCTAGCTCTTTCCTCTATTTCCTTTTACTTTCCTCTTGTACCACTATCATGCTGAGCCTTCATGTGAGTTTCAGTAATTTCTTTTGGTTACATGACCCTTGATAAAACCCTACCAGTACTCCGACACCCTCCTCACCATTGATGTGGATCATTTGTTGTTCTCTTGTCCTTGGGTTAACACCACTTCCTTTCCCCCCAGCTCCCCTTCTCCCATGGCCCCCCCGAACTGTCGGTTCTGTTGTTTTCTCCTGCAGATTGTTCATCCAGCCTATTTTATTTAGGCAGACCTGCAGAGATAGTAACATGTACTAAAACAAGACAGAACAAAACCAAGCAACAAAAGAAAAGAAAATGACAACAAAAACCCAATGACAGAAAAAACAAACAAAAATCCCCACAATACAACAACAACAGCAAGAAAAGCTTTTAGTTAGTTCAAGGACTGTTTGTTGGCCTTTAGGAGTGTTTTCCAGTTGAGTCTGATGGGGTGCCAAGCCCTGGCCCCAAAGTCTATTTTTGGTATTCCCTGGGGACTTCGTTGTTCTGTTCCCTTTGCTGTTCTGTTGCACGCTGTTAGTGTTTTGCCTCGGTGTGGTGCGATCATATCGGGCACAGTTCCCCCACTCTGTCTCCAGTGTTGTCCCCTGTTGGGCTATGGGTCAGTGGGGAGGTTGTGTCTCATAGTGGGGCCGGCCATGTGGTCTTCTCTGTGGATTGGCTGCTCTGAGCGGGAATGTTGTTGTCAAGGCTTGGTGGGCCAGGATGTGCTCCACTCTCTTCCTCCCCCTTCATTTGCTTCCATGTGCTCTGATCAGACATGTCCCTCTCCCCGAGCTGCAGCTTCAGTGCTGTTCTCTGAAATAAATTCTTTTGGGTGGGGAGGGGCAGGTGTCCACGTAGTTGGGATTGGGGCCAGCCCCTCAGACCTCTCCACTGGTTCCCTAGTCCATGCCAGCATGTCACAACATGTCGGCATAAAATTATTTTCATTGCTACTTCATAACTGTAATTTTGCTACTGTTATGAATTGGGCGGCCCTTGTGAAAGGGTCATTCGACCCCCAAAGGGGTCTTGACCCACAGGTTGAGAACTGCTGATCTAGAGACATTGCACAGCAGATTGCTGACACTTTAATCTGGATGATGGGCTATACAGTGCCCATGTTTTCCATTCCATCGGGTGGTGCGGATTATTATTTGGAAAGGGTGTTAGGCCAGTTAAATGTGGGAACCTCAGATGTAATACATTGCTTTCTTTGTTTCTTTGTCTTTAATAACTGCCTGGAATGTAAATCTAGTCGTTCTGGTTTTCCTCCCCCCTCCCCAAAAGGATGTAATGAATCAGAATCTCCAGTTGCATGAGCTAGCCAGGTGATTTTTATGTTCAAATGTAGGTTCTGAGTCAGTATATCTGGCAGGGAAAAGCAAGTTCTTAGCAAGTGGGCCAAATAAGAGCTAGCCGGCTCAAAGCCCTGGTCCTATCTGGTGGCAGATAGGTTAGAGTCCAGCTAGCTGTGATTGATTAGTTGTTGCCTGCTAACAACTGAGATGCTATTCAGACTCTGGGAAGCTGGACCTGAGCTGAGCTGGACGGAGGAGCCAGCCTTTTGCTGGGAGTGTCTGCGCATGAGTGTGTGCCTGGACTGTAGGGCCTTTCCCGGTATCTGTTCACCTGCTGGCTCTGACTGGGTCACTCTCCTGTTGGAGGTGAGATTGCCTCCGAGGACCCAGCAAGGAACCGGATTAAGCATGATGTGTCTGTGCACTCTTAGCTATTCGGAGCCTTTGGATGGCACGTTCCGTGCGTGCGCTCAGCTGCTAATGGAAATTAAACTTTGCAAAGTGGCTTTACTGTATGAAAGAGCATTGACATTTTGTGTGTGTGTGTGTGTGTGTGTGTGTGGTTTTAAATATTATGGACAGAATGTTTTCCAAAAGGGAATATTTGAAAGAGCTGCATGAAAAGAATTCCAAAAGGTTAGCTAGGCCACCAAGAAAGGAGAAGCCCAGTTCCATTGAGCCCCTGATGCAGGTGGGCATTTAGTACTCACTGCGTAGGGAGGCGAGAGTGTGATGTTTACTTGAATTTTTTGAATATTAGCAAATCTACTTTTTTTTGGGCGGGGGGGGGGAAGATAGACTTCTTAATTCATGGAAAAATCCAAGCAAACACAATACTCTTGTTTCAGGAATCAAATTGGTTACATCCGTGATAAAAGACAATAGAGAAGCTCAATACCATTAGCTAGAATAAGACTAGGGGCTAACTGCAGAATAGACCATCAATTGTTCCTAGCAAGTTCAGGTTGAATCTGAAGAAAATCAAAACAAGTTCACACAGTGACAGGTATAATATAGGCATGTACATATGTAAATATACTTATATATAACAATAGGCACATAGATCTATGTACATATATTTATATGTTAAGTATTAAGGTAGCAGACGGACATTGGGCCTCTATTCAAGTACTCCCTCAACGCAAGAACATTTTGTTCTAATAACCCAGTATTCTGTGATACTCAACTTCCTGACAAGATCACTGAAGACAAATTGGGTACATAAGCAAATGTGGTGTAGAAAGCTGATGGTGCTCGGCTATCAAAAGATAAAACATCTGAGGTTTTAAAGGCTTGAAGATAAACAAGCGGCCATCCAGCAGAGAAGCAACAAGCCCACAAGAAAGAAGCACACCAACCTGTTTGATCATGAAATGTCGATAGGATCCCAAATAAACAATTATATCGATGTGAATGAGGGAGAGGGTGGAGTAGTGACCCAAAGCCCATCTGTAGACTATTGGACATCCCCTCACTCTAAAAGATCAAAGGAAGGGTCAAGCCAGCCAGGGTGTACCGATGAAACATTCAACATTCCTCTAGTTCTTTAATGCTTCATCACCCCCATCCCCCACTATCATGACTCCAGTTCAATACGAATTTGGCTAGACCAGAGCATGTACACTGGTACAGGTAAGAGCTCTAAACACACGGAATCTAGGACAGATAAACCCATCAGGAACAATAATGGGAATAGCAATACCATGAGGGTTGGGGGAAGGTTGGAGGAGAAAGAAGGAAACAATCACAATGATTGCCTTATAACTCCCTCCACCCAGGGTGACACACAACAGAAACATGGGTGAAGGGAGACAGCGGATGATGTAATATATGAAAATAATAATAATTTATAACTTATCAAGGGTTCAGGAAGGTGGTAGAGAGAGGGAAAAATGAGCTGATACCAAGGGCTCACGTAGAAAGAAAATGTTTTGAAAAGGATGATGGCAACTTATATACAAATGTACTTGACACAGTGGATGTATGGATTGTTAGACGAGCTGTTAAGAGCCCCCAATAAAATGATTCAAAAAAAAAAAGTCCTCAAGTGCCAAAATTCTACCTTAAGTACATCTGTTGGTCCAGTTGCGGAAATTTTGAACTTCGCATTGAGTTGTACTCCATACTGCAATCCTTGATCTTCATCAACAAGTCCTCCTCACGTTCACCAAGCAAGGTGGTGTCATATGCATACTGCAGGTTATTAACAAGCCTTCCTCCAATCCTAAAACTACAGTGTTCTTCATCTAATCCAACTTCTCGGATTATTACTGAGTTGAAACCATGCAGTATCCCCTTGTTCTGTGCACATAACCTCCTCCCGGTCGGTTACAGGGTTGCATGAGCTAAATGGAAGCACTCTGGAGTTCTCATTTTTGTGTGTTCTTCACACAGTCACATGCGTTTGCATGGTCAATGAAACAGAAGTAGACATCTCTCTGTTATTTCAGCCAAGCTCCATCTGATGTCATCAATGGTACCCTCGTTCCATATCCTCTTCTGAATCTAGCCTGAACCTTTTACAGCTCCCTGTCAATGTACTGCTACAACCATTGTTGAATGATTGTCAGCAAAGTTTTATTTGCATGTTCCATACTTTGAGCATTCTGTGAGGTCACCTTTCTCGGGAATGGGTACAAATATGGATTACGTCCAGTCAGTTAGTCAAGTGGCTGTGTTCCAGATTTCCCTGCGTAGACGAGTGAGTGCTTCCAGTGTTTCCTCAGCTTGTTGAAACATTTCTCTTGGTATTCCATCAATTCCTGGAATCTCGTTTTTGGCTAAATGCTTTCAGAGCAGCTTGGACTACTTCCTTCAGTACCATTGATTCTTGCTCATGCGATACCTCTTGAATTGGTTGACTGTTAACTAGAATAGAATGTCAGAAAAATGTTTTCTTCTGTTTTATTGACTATGTACAGGCCTTTGACTGCAAATCATAACAAACTATGGAAAACATTGAGAAGACTAGGAATTCAAAGCACTAATAGTGCTCATGCAGACCCCGTACATAGACAGACTAAGAGGTCATTGTTAAACAGAAGAAGGAACTACTGCATGGTTTAAAATCAGGAAAGGTGTGTATCAGCAGTGCATCCTTTCACCATACTTAACTCAATCGGTATGTGGATCAAATAACCGGATAAGCGGGACTAATAGGAAGAAGAACATGGCTTCGGGATTAGGGGACTACCCCTTAACAACCTGCAATCTGCAGAACCACCCCACCTGTTTGCTGAAAGAGAAGAGAGCTTAAAGCACCGACTCCTGGAGACTAAAGATTACAGTCTTCAGTATGGGTGATGCCTCAGTATAAAGAAAGCAGAAGTCCTCAGTGGACCAGTAAACAGCAGCATGATAAATGAGGAAGAGATCAAAGTCAAGGGTTTCATTGTACTTGGATCTACAATCAGCACTCAGCAACGATGCTAGCAGCCAAGCAATCTACTACTGTATCGCTTAGAACATAACTGCTGCAAAAGACCCCCTTAAAGTGTAAAGAAGCAAAGGTCCCCCTTTGAGGACTGTGATCTACCTCACCCAAGACCGTGGTGTTTCGGTCACCTCCTGATCGCGTGCTAGCTAGACAATGAATAAGAAGAGCGAAGAGCTGATGCGCTTGAACGAAGGCATTGAGACCTGTGTTGACGGACCGACCGTACACCGCCCGAAAATGAGCCCACTTGTGATGGAGGAACTACAGCAGAAAGTCAGGATGGCAAGGCTTCTTTTCACGTGTCTTGAACATTTTCTCAGGAGACACTAGACAAGGATCATCAGAAAAGAAAGACCCCCAGTGAGATGCATTGACACGTTGGGTGTGCAAACAGGCCCAGGAGTGTGCAGGACCAGGGAGTGTCTCGTCCGGTTGTGCCTCGGGCACCACTCAACAGCAGCGGCAACAGTTAGTTTTTGACCTTGACTCTCCCAGTCTGTGTCTCACATACTCACTCCATCTTCCTGATTGGTACCAATACTGTGCAGCAACACTGTCTCTCATCCTTGTCACACTGGACACATGTGTTCTCAGGTTTCAATTTGGCTTTTTATTTTGTTACTTGAGAGGTTTTCCCTATAGATTACCCTCTTGATTCTTCTTAATAATTGGGTAATAATTTAATTTGTTTTTTCTTAGAGTATTTAATATTCATTAATTTAACATGGATCCAAATAGGTTTTTGTTTTTATACTATGACCAGTTACCCCACCCTCTCACTAAGTACACCCCTTCTTTTTTATGTCTGTGTATCTTACTACCTGGCCTTGGCTATTTGGTGGGGGGAGAGGGTCAGTTTTAATCATTTATTTTGTAAATATTGGTCATAATTGTTTAGCTGTGTTTTAATTAATGCCCAGTAGGCCTGCTGGATTCCCGGGAGCCTTCTTCTAAGTCCTTCGCACTTTAAATTCTTGAGCCATCTCATTCGTGCTTTGCTCCAAGCGTTTTTGGTGGCTTGGGTTGATTCAGTCAGCCCACTGTGTAAAATGTCGAAGGGCCTGCTTTTCTCTCGTACCAGAAAGCCTTCTTTGAAAGGAAATTGAGCCTCTGCATATGTGCTTTCCTGGGGGCTGGCAGTTCTTCCCATGTTTAACTTGGTTTACTATGCATTGTTTTATTCTTGGAACAAAAGAGAGTGCCGTCTCTTCTAGCTGATGTAATCTGTCCATATGCCTTTTCTTACTGACTCTCTTCCTTCCCTCGCAGAATGGGTTCAGATGGCTCCAACTCTGTTTTCTAAATTTATTCCAAACATTCTCCCCCCGGCGGTGGAATCGGAGCTTTCTGAATATGCTGCTCAAGATCAGAAACTTCAAAGAGAACTGATGCAGAATGGGTTTATGAGGCAAGTGCTTCGTATTGTTTTTCGGTGCTTAAATACGCCACTGCCTTTGGCCGGCATGGCCTAGAGAGGGGCTCACCGTCTCAGGATGGGAATCCTGGGCAAGCCTCAGTGCCCTGAGAGCTGCTCCCAGTGGCGTCAATGCTGAAGATGGGTTTTGATTTTCTGAAAGGTTCTCTGCACTACGTCAGTTTTTATGATTTGATTTCTCATTGCTTGGGCATTTTGTCTGAGCAACCTCCAAGAACCCGTTCAAATCCAATGGTCTCATGTTACTTCTGAACATTTGAAAGAGTGTTCTAGAAGTTTTATGGTTAGTGGCAATGGGCTTTTATCCCTAACCTCACTAATCGGCTTTTAGAATGTGTAGTTCATATTTCCACTTTTACCTAAATTTCTAGTGTTCTTAAAAGGTATGCCACCTCTTTATATTGTGGAAATTTTACATTCCTTGGTCTTGATTTCTACATTTTTGTTAACTTTTCCTAAAATTTAGAATTTAGTGCCATGCCCATAATTCCAGAAAATTTTGGAAAGTGTATGGTTTCAACTCAAGTAAATGAAACATAAAAATGATGTAACTCCCTACAGGGAACCATGGGTTTGTGTCACCATCCGCTTTCCCCTAGCCCTTCCTGGCTACCAGGCACTTAACATTCCTATTTGACCCCTCCCTCGGGTGGACTTTCCCTTCCAAAGTACTAAGGCAAAAAAAAAAAACCTCAGGAGAGGCAGTCCTGCGTTACAGCGAATTTGTCCCGGATCATTTTGATGTGTGCCAGAGTGTATTAGTCTGGGTACTTTGGAGAAACAAATCCACAGCAACTCATGTATAAGAGAGAGTTCTATGCAAAGAAAATGTGCATCACGAAAACATCCCAACCCAATG